TAATCTCTAACACTTATTTTTGACACTCTACAGACAAGTAGGTGTTCATTAGATTAAAGTTGAAATAATGCATAAACGTCCTCTCTTCTAATAAAAAAAAGCCAATATTAACATCTGAGTTTGAATATTTGCTGTTTCAAGTGGAAATAGTGTCAAAGTAAAATTACTGACCTCCTTTTTCCCCTCTGAGGGACTGTTCACAGGTCACGACTAAGCCTTCTTTTAATTTCGCCCTCATCCATAATCCTCTTACTGATCCCACACAGGCTTTGAATACTCAAGGTACAAGTATGCCTGGGCTTTTCGTCACCTTATAATCACAAAGAATATCTGGAAGTCTACTAAATGAAAACCACATCACGTATTCAAAGAAATACTCAAAATTTCTAAAGAACTTGATATCCTTTATATCTGAGAATTATTTTAAGGAATAACGAACACATCCCTGCCCGAAAAAGTGAAACAAATTTTTGCACAGGGAACCCTAAATTCTTTTTACAAATGCAGAGAAGACCGGATGGGTAGGAAACATCGCTTGTTGAAAGTTTCAGCCAAATGTTCAAGGCCATGATTACAAGGTCATGGTTCTCTCGTTCAACTCTAGCTTTTAAAATCATGGCGTTAAGTAGCCTCACCATTGGATGACTAAACGGTGTTTCTTACAAATCTCTTTGTTTCTTACCACCAGCATCTCTTGTGTCTCTGATGGCTGTAAGACAGTGACTAAGTCTTTCTGCCTCAGATTGGAATGACAACTGTAGATACAGTGAAATATAATCCTTAGGGATATTCTTCCCCCAGCACTTCAGAAAAATCTTTGTAAAATAAAAGCATGCCTCTGTATGAACGTCCCTCCAGCAGAGATTTGACTTAAATAATCTCCTTGTTCCCTACCCAATCATACTTCTTTAATAAGTATTATTTTGTTTTTTTAAATGTCCGATGCACCAAATGCCAAATACATAAAGGAGGCATAAATGATCATTATAAAATCAGTCAAAGCAGGCATAAATGATCATTAGAAAATGAATCAAATCAAACCTCTTTGGGTTTTTAAGTGTCTCATTTTCTTCAGTAAACAAATGATTTTGATAATGGGAAAAACTAGGTGCTGAAAAATATCTCCTGGATTAACGAGTTTCTTAGAAATTATTTAGATTACTTCAACTGTACAACTAAAATAATATTTATCTTGAGTCAAGAACAACAACAAATACCAGGTCTGGAATTCTGTCCCTATTTATAGAAATGTTTGTTGTAACACTAATTCCTGATTTATCAAAGCCTGCTCTAAAGGATAAGAACTCATTTTACATAACTGTCACAATTTTCCTTCTCCTACTATCATCTTCCATAGGAATGTACATAAATGCTGCCCCCACCACTTCCAATAACGCTTTCAATGTTACAATGTTTACTCTAGTAGAGTTTGACAAAGATGTCTGCTCTCTGCATGAGTCAGGCATAAGTCTGTCTTTCAATCTCAGATGCTTTGAGTTCTTTCTTGGTAAACATCAATTTCCATAGTAAAACCACAAACCAGGAGAAACAAACTTAGGATGAACTAGATCTTTCTAGGCTTTCTGTCTGGATGACTCAAAAGCGACCTTAGAGTTGTTATTAAGTTACCCAACAGGTACAGCTCACAAGTCTGGGAACAAGAGGATCAGTCACCAAGGTGGGAAACAAAGTTTGAATGGAGCACGGACAGCTATCTTTCTACTTTCTCTTCAGAGGTCCTACACATTTATCAAAAGGACACATGTTAAAGAACAAACAATGGGAAGAAATTCTTAGATACCTAACCAAAAGGAATGTACAGAGAAAAAAAGTATTTTGTCTAGAAATGTTATCTATGATTCAGAGACACTGATGTTAATGAAAAATGGAATGGTTCCTTCAAATCTCCTTTGTTCTGGGTAGCCTGTGTATAAGGGTAAAATCCTATAAAGTATCTTTCCAGAATGGTCTTCTTCTTAGTCAAGAAGGGAACATCTCATAATTATCTAAACTCAAAATTTTAGGTAGGATAGTATCCTTTTGAATCACCAAAGGTCAGATGTTATGGGAATGACATCCACTTAGAAAGCAGTTATAGATCTGCCAGTCTAAATATACATATTTATAAAGAGACAGTAAGACGTTGGTTCATAGGTATCTAAAGGCATAGGATTTATGTCATGCCTAAATCACTGAAGTCACTAAGTAAAAACATACATATTTAAGTAAATGTTCTTCTATGTGAAGGAGTGAAGAACAGATATACTAGATGATCAAGAAATTATAATAACAAAATTTCTTAGCAAAAGTGGTACAAGGCTCTGCTGATCTCTTTTAGCTTCAATAGAATAACACTGCCAGCTAAATATATAGATATCTAAAATATAACAGGCTGGCCCAAGGTATAAATAAAATATTTTCATTTTGAACACTGTTAAACTGTCAAACAATTTACTCACATCACATTAAATTTCTAAATTCTATGCCTCTGAAAAGTAATCACATGAAAAGTAATTATACCATCACTAGTTTAGACAGGACAAGAGCTGTCACTGGAACAGAAGGACGGTTATAAAATGTGCCACAGGAACAATTAAAAAGGCAATACACTGAGTTGTACTGCATGAAGGTAAGACAAAGCAATGAAGCCCAATAAGAGGAGGGGCCATAGTAGTCGTATCTCGAAGCAAAAGCAATCAAAACGCCAGAAAAGCATCTTCGCCATATGCAGCTGACTCCAATGCATGGGTCATAATCAGAGAAGCACTTCCTGGGTCACGAGCACTTGTACAGATTTATTAGACTCCTCTTAATTGAAGAATCTAAAGCAGAATTTTCCCATTATTAACTTCTTTTTATAAGGAACCCAAACCATTTAGTTTCTTATCTTCCTAAATAGCAATAGAAAAGTCTATTACAACAGTGGTCCTATCAGATAAAGTAGATAAAGTTTCCCCAACAAAACATTATTCACTCACTTAAAAAAATGCGTTGAACAAAAGGGATCCAAACCATTGGAGAAGTAGAGAATTATTCGTACCAGTCCAATTCCTCATCTATAGGGTTTCTTTAGCTCAAAGTTAGAGAGAGCAGCACACACATTTCATTGTTCTGTCTCAAAGGAACTATGGCTTTCTGGAATGAAAATAGGCTTAGAAAAATAACAACAGCTTAGTCACCAAGAAGTCCTTTCTCTACTCAAAAGATTAGTACTTTCGGGCAGAGGCTCACAGTTGTAGAACGATATCCTAGGATCTCCTACAATGTGTCTCTGATGCAAATGTAAGTAAATCAAGGGCAAAGATCTAGTTCCTTTTTCAAGCATCAATTTAAAAACTCTTCTCCCAGCAGATTTAAGTCAAATGACAGTTGCCAATAGCTCAATGAAACTCCTCTCTGTGGCATGAGATGTAACTTTACAAAGAGCTAAAACTGAGATAGTGCTACATGATAAATATGGAGTATTACCTCAGAGCAGAGTGCTGAATATGGCAACTTCTAATAACACCAATAACTGCTTTAGGGACATGTGTTTCACTTGACTGGGCGTCACTTGACTCTAAAACATTCATAATATGGCAGTTTAAGAATGTTAAAAAAAACCCCAACAAAGGCTACTACTGTAATCTTGAATCAAATACTTTAGGTTACAATACATCGCTTCCAGGATTCACGATGGTTAAATGGTAATTCCAGATGAGCAGGATCTGTTAGCATTCTCAGATTGAAACTATCAAAAAGATTTATTGTTTAAGTCTCCCATCTCAATATTTCTTTCAATGCAGGGAAGCAAGGATAAAGACTTCACACATTTCTGTGCTTGTTTCCAGGGGATGAACCATGGTTGCCAAGAGAAAGCAGAGGGACAAGTATGAGCTTTCTAAAGTAAGAGTCTACATTAAAACTGAAGGCACAGCCCTCGATGTGGACAGGTAAATCAGACACCAGGTACAATCCACTGACAAAAAAATCAGAAAGCTAAGAAAACGTACAAAACCGTTTAGCTTTCAAACTTCAAAACACATCCAGACACAGAATCAGAAACAGAAGCTTTGGTCTTTCAAAAGTGACCTTCACAAATCAGTTTTGTGTTTGTTTCCATTTTCTTTCACAGTTTAAGCCTCAATCAAATCAGCGGTCTCTGGGGATTTTGAAATTGCTATAGATTAAAATCCTCTCTGACTCAACTGTTTGACTAATGCCAAGTATTTAATAATTCTACTCATAAGAGACTTTTTCTTGATGAAACCCTGCTGTATGCTCTCTTCAGATGCTCTGCAGCTACACCATAACAGAAAGCATCACTGTCCTTATTTTATCAATACATGTAGAGATGAAAAATGTATTACTATAAACAGGTCTATGATTTGGCAGACGCGGCAGAAAACAGTTTGACAATACTAATGTAGCAACTATCACCTACAGAGGCAAAGATCCACTCCCAGGTACTAATGATACATATTCATGGCTTGGTTCCAAGGAGAGGAGGTTAATAACTGTGATAGATAGACTAAAGTTAAGTTAATGAATTTCTAAACTTTATGCTTTCAATAATAAAACCATTTAAGCTACAGCATTTGGACTCTCTACTTCCACAGATCAGGCATTTTGATACTCAACAGGTTGAGTAAATTGAATCCATATATTGTATTTACGTTCTCTGTCAAGGTTGCTTCTCCACATTTGAGAGATCAAAGGCAAAACAGTCATCAACCCTGTAGCCTTCAATACTGTGTTCATTACATTTAATCAAGTGCCAACCCCATCGCATCATTCACAACCTTAACAATATTTAAATGCATGGCATTGTTTAGCAACAAATGTAGGCACGGTACTGTTTTAACAAACACATACACGTATGCACGCACAGTATGCACGCACATCCCAAAACAAACAAACAAAAAGAGGAAGGCAAAAAATATCATTCTCTCCATTGCGCAGGAAAAGAAATTGAAAATGTACAGAACTATCCAGCACACATTTTGGAGGTGGTTTTCTACCTGAGGCAGCATCAATCACGGTGGAAATTCCCCTTCGATCAGAAACTGGACGGGATGACCCTGGCATGCTGACTGGGTCAGAGCGGACCGGCTGGATCCTGCAAGGCAATTTAATTTAATTCACATATGTTACCAGCATCAAAACTGTCGCGTGCTACAACAGACCTTAAATCAGGAATGCTGGATTAGGCCAATCCATTAAAGAACCATTCATTCTAAAACAAGACAAAGAGGGGAACTGCAGTCCCTAATTCCTGCACAAAGCTAACGCACTGCAAACATTCCCTACACTCCAGACTTCTCCTCTTTGTAAATTACTCAATAGATTTTAAGTAAGGGGTTGAAAAATTGACATTAATTGAAAGGGATAAATTTAGTAGAACGGGAAAGGAAACAAAATACTTTATACCAAAACCTTTGACATTTCCAAGGGACAGATCTGAAGAGTTTTGACACTCTTCAAATTGATGAATAGCACCATAGCTAGTAAAACCTGCCATAAAAGGCAGCATATACTAGATACAAAATCTTGAGGAACTCCCTTATATCCTGAATGAAAGTTACTTTATATATGACAAGAAGCACAGGAAAACAAAGCTGTGCTGGAATGTGGGGGCCACAGGTTTAGCTAGGATCACTATTATCTAACTGAGTTACCTCCATAAAATTACCAATTAGCATGTAAGAATCAATTAGAGTCTCAGCAAAACTGCAATTTACTACATATAATTTCAAGTTGCTTAGGAATGATAAATCTATAAGTGCCAAGAGTCTCTCTCCAGCTGTATTAGGTAAATACTATTAACATAAAAAAATCTGTATGACTAGAAAATCTGAGACCCCCATACAACTTAGAGGAAAAAAAGACCTGTTATAGCAATATAAGCATGCATTTTTGGCAATTCATTCATTCAATGAGTATTTGCTGAATATTAAACATGTGTCAGTATTATTCTAGGGACAGGCAGAAACAAAACATGAACTAGAAGGTCTATGTGTGGATATGTGGTCTAGCACATGGACATTCATGACTGATGCAAAAGAAAAGTGTGAAAATGAGTGAAACAGGCAATTAAAGCTCAGAATGAGAAAACAGGGTAATGAATACATGGTCCACAGCAGACTGGGAAGATCTTATGGAGGTGGAATAGGAATTGGATATGTATGCAGTAATAGGATATGTATATATGCAGAGGAGCAAGAAGTGTTCCTTAAGCATAGAATGAAACAAGCAGACCCTTGGATTGGTAACTAAGCCTGACAAATGCAGGGCAGCTTGAGGAGCATGATTTGGCTGAAGCTTAGAGTTCCCAGTGGATCCTGGTGGGCGAGAAGAGGCTGATGAACGCCATGGGACAGATTATAGAAGCCTGAAATGCCAAGAATAGACTGCAGAAAAAGAGTAGTTCCTGAAAGCATGGTTTAAATGTTTGTGTATTTGTTGTGTGAAAAAAAGAACCAGGAGGCAGGTGAAGGACAATGCATTTGATCCAGCGCTGGAAGCCTAAAGTACTGAGAACAAAGACTCTCGTCGCTGCTATTGCGGACATCACAGACATCACATACCACCTAATCTTTGTTCTACCCCAGCTGATTTTGCTACACCAGTCATGGTAATCCCATCAGCTCACGGCAGAGATTAATTAGCTCCAGGATGGGTAGGCCTAAGCAAATTTGGGCCAGTGAGAAAAGAGGAGCTGTTTATTTGAAATGTCTGGAGAAGATGTTTTCTGGTTCTTAACAGAAAGAAGAAGCTAGACAGTTAGATATGGTCAGTTCATCCAAAGTAAAGCCCCCTCCCGGTCTAAACAACTTAAGTGAACTAATAAATTTCCTATTATTAATTCAATCTATATCAGGGTTTCTGAATAATCCAGAGCTGTGGGTGAGGTGAAACAAGGCTGCCCATGAATGGATGTGTTGAAGCTGGCAACAGATACACGGGGGCTTATCCTATTATTTTCTTTAACTTTAAATATGTTTATATATGTTTGAAATTTTTCCATAATAAAAATGACAAAAATAAAAACAAACTGGCAGAGGTGATGGAAATGTTCTGGAATTGGATAGTGGGGATACTGCCCAACATAGTGAATATACTAAAAACTGCTGAATTATACAGTGAATTTTATGTTAGGTGAATTATGGATCACTGAAAAAAAAATAACATGAATAAGGTCTGAGGATCAAATGAATAACACAATGACTATGGTTGATGACACTGTATTACATAACTGAAATTCAATGAAAGAGCCTCACTAAAATAATCACAACACATACATACTAAATATGTGAGCTGATGGATGTGTTAAATAACCAGATGAAAAAATAAAATAATAAAGTAAAAGGAGCTAATCTTGAGTAGAAAACTAGACTTTGTATCTTAGCTTCTTTTACATGATCTCTTTCTCAGATCTAAAAATAAATATTTCATTGACCTTTTTTACAGTTTAAATCCCTGCTCCAAGTAAGGAGCTGCCATGAGTTTAGGCCATCCCTGATTCCCTTATGGACATGACAGTCAACTCTATACCTGCCTGCTCCCCACTTAGGTTAGGATATAGGGAGGCAGAATATCACAGCACCACATCATTCTTAGTGATATCTTATGGAGTACAGGACAGGGTACCAGGTGTAAAGGGTCAGCTGAATCAAAAACATCTAAATAAAGTTTTTTTTTTACAGTTTGAAGGAGAAAGTAAGGCTAACAGCCATAGTACCATTGTACATAAGCCTAAAGAAATGTAGACGAAATAGAGGTGAAGCACTCAGAGCAATAGGAAAACAGGAATGAAGAGAATACAAATAGCTGGATTTCTAATTGGATGCTGGGCAGGAAATGGTACTAAAGAGGCCACTATAATTCAAATGATGTAAGTCAAATCTGAATTTCCCATCAAAACCGTGTTCTAATGGAAGTTAAGGTTTTAACCAAGGGCCTATATGCTCAGATTTTTAAATATAAATTACAAGATAATCAAAACAAATGTATAAGCCTGTGACCCCCAATAAAGGTATCTAAAGTTTAGCTGTATCCAATAAACAGGACAATATTTGGGGCGCCTGGGTGGCTCATTCAGTAAGCATCTGACTCTTGGTCTCAGCCCAGGTCTTGATCTTGGGGTCGTGAGTTCAGGCCCCATGCTGGGTGTGGAGCCTATTTAAAAAATAAAAAACAAAAAAGGACAATATTCTAATCAAATATATACAGTTTAAAATCATTTAAATGACAAATACTGGGAATTCTTTAGCATAAGAAAAAGGAAAGCCCCTGAGGAACATTCTAGAATGAATTTAGGACAATAGCTGTCTGAAGAAGCAAGTTAGAGAGCTCTTAGATGAAGGGCTATGTCTGAAGTAAAGAGTCATTAAGCAAGCTGGAGGTCACAAAGCAAAGGAACAGAGCGGCATATATAGGAGACTAGAGCTATCCTCCAAAGAAGAGGGACAAGGGCTTATTATAGTACCAGGTGACAGTCATCAGAGGAAAAAAAGAAAAAAGGATCTTGTGAATAGTTCAATCAAGAGAATAAACATAGGGCGCCTGGGTGGCTCAGCTGGTTAAGCGACTGCCTTCGGCTCAGGTCATGATCCTGGAGTCCCAGGATCGAGTCCCGCATCGGGCTCCCTGCTCGGCAGGGAGTCTGCTTCTCCCTCTAACCCTCCCCCCTCTCATGTACTCTCTCTCTCTCTCATTCTCGCTCTCTCAAATAAATAAATAAATCTTTAAAAAAGAAAAAGAGAATAAACATAGTTTTATGGGTTGTCTATTTTAAATGCCTTATTATTAACATCTGAGTACCCAAATGACTTATAAACATGAATGACTACACGCTGAATCATTAAGTTGAGGACTGACAACTTCCTGAAAATGGACTATCGACACCAGATTACATTTTACAGTTGGTACCAGTGAAAACTGGTCTAGTACTCAGTATTGTCACTATTGCCTGACATCTTGGAGGGAAAGTTCCACTTCTGAAAACCTGGAAGACATGCTATGTTTAAAAAAAAAAAAGCAAAAATGTATGGAAGAAATAAAGTACAAAGCAAACAAACAAAAAATTAAGACACTGAAAAAGGTATTATAGGAGACATCTTCCATTACATGAATTACTCTTTTATTTTTTTTTATTTTTTATTTTTTTAAAGATTTTATTTATTTGACAGAGAGAGATACAGCGAGAGAGGGAACACAAGCAGCAGGAGTGGGAGAGGGAGAAGCAGGCTTCCCGGGGAGCGGGGAGCCCGATGCGGGGCTCGATCCCAGGACCCTGGGATCACGACCTGA